AGGGATGGATGGATGGATGGATGATGGACGGATGAGGGATGGATGGATGGATGGATGGATGAGGGATGGATGGATGGATGATGGATAGATAAGGGATGGATGTATGGATGAATGGCTCCCATGTGAAGCTCCTGTGTGCTGACAGTTTGAGGCCCCCCTCCCGCTCTGTTGAGGTGAGGGTCACCAGAAGCTCTCAGAATCTCCAGCAGAGGCATTAAAATTTCAACATATTCTTTTCAGAATGTAAAAATAAAATCGAGGCGACATGACGGGCAGAAATCAGCAGCAGTTTGATACATTTCTGATTATCTATTAATTAACAGCTGTTAAATTTCTCACACAGACAGATTATTCTGCTATTACTCTCCATTAAACCTTCCTCTGTGGTTTTATCTGCTTCCGCAGCAAGGATGACTCTGCAGATAATCTGATGCTTCGAGGCTCAGGTTTCCTTGGCTGCTTGGAAAATTACCCATTTTATTTGCTTTTTATCAAAATTATATGAGAAATTTATGTGAAATGGACAGAAACAGATGCAGAGTTTTTCCATTTGTACTTTTAATTTGTACTTATTTGTATTTTTCTCTTCTGTTTTCTTGTTGCAGGACCTGAAAAAGCCATTTGACAAAGCCTGGAAGGACTACGAGACCAAAGTGTAAGAAACCTTCCCTTTAAACAACCTCTTTTCCACACATTTAATGAACGGGCATTCAGATGTTCCTTTAATTTAAAACGTTAAAGCTCTAACTCATCTCAGAGGTCGAACCATTCTCTGTAAATCACTGAAGTGGTTTAGTTTTGCTGTTATTAAGTTGAATGACTGTCCTCCGTGTCTCAACACGTCCTCCCATCCCATCGTCCTGTCTCTACCACAGGCGCCCCGTGGTTTAAAACCACCCAGGAGTATTTATTGCGCTTTTATGCATTTTGCACGCAGCAGAAGACTCTCGTTAGTGAGAGGGCGACAGGTCTTTATCTAAGCCGTTTTCCTAATGAGGTTCATGCTTTGTGCTGACACAGAGGGCAGGTTGGGACATCCCTGTCTGTCTTAACTTCAACAAACTTCTGACCCAGATTTAGCTTTATATTTTTCATTTAATGAAGGTTCAAAGCTGTCCAAACCTTTTTGACCTCGTCGGGAAATAATCATCCTCTATAGGGGTGGAACGGTTCACAAAATCCACGGTTCGGTTTGGTTCATGGTTCCTGGTCACGGTTTTCGGTTCGGTTCGGTATATGTTGATTGTTAGGAAAATCTATTATGTCTTGTATAGTAGAACACGTGTTGCAAAATGCTTGCACACTGTTGCACTTTTATCCACAACTTTCTTTCCGCCGTCATCGTAGGTCACTCTAAATGCAAAGTGGTCCC